TCAGTGCTGGCTCAGATACTGAAAAGGTCCTGTGGGAGCGAAGCTGGTGTTAAAAGTTTTATGGACAGGAGGTTTCCACTCATCATCCTTGTTCCTAACACCGTCTTTCCAGCCCTGAGGGTTGTCTGGGCTGCCGCAAGGCAAGCTCAAGGCCAAAACCCTGAGAGGGAACTAGGGAAAGAGACGGAGGCAGGCTAGAGAGTCAGAGGGGAGAAGAGGAGGGGCCCCTGCATGGGGAGCTCAAAATCACACTGTGACAGCCACAAAACAAGTCTCAGGGCAAATGGTGCCCCCGACAGACACTGATAATGTAACAAGTTAGTAGCCAACAGGCACAGACCAGTTCATAAGGCCATTCAGGGAGTCCCTGCAGGCTGTCATCTCAGCTGCTGTGAGCACTCAAGGCAGATATGATAACATTTCCAAGGTAGAATTTTGTCACCTTCTAGTTGGCATAGGCAAATGGAAATCCTCTAAAACTAGTTGCTAGACATGGGACAGTTATGTGGCAAGCATTAGAACCCTCCCTTTTTGGGTGCTGCCTCCCAGCTTTCCTGGATCCACCAACCCTGTCTGTAACAAAGTTGGGGAACTACCTCTCAAATATTTCAGCCAATCCACACCATATGTCTTGAATACCCCAGTTCTATCCTTTTCCTACAGTCCCCATCATGCTAATTAGCAAGCCACCAGTTTCCCCAGTAAGGAAAACATTTCAAACATTCCAGGTGCTCTTTGGCCTTGCCTCAAGTATTAGGGAGATGAAGAGGTGACCGCGACTTCAGTAGCAGCCCTGGGGTGGGGGCTTCCTGACTAGAACTTGAGCTGCTGCGCCCTGGGTGTGCAGTCTTGGCACTCCATCAGACAAGTGGCTGCCCACTGACCAGATTAGGGCTTCTCCTGAGTCACAGACTGGGGCCAGTCTCCCTGGAAGTGCTGGTGACTTTGAAGGTAAATTCCAGATGTCACAGCTGTCAAAAAGCTCTGGAGCCAGGGACTTAGACCTAAGGGGAAGTTTCTCAGTCTGGGTTCAGAGGGCAGAGAGCGCTAGTTCTAGTCTTCTTTCATATTTATTGCAGGGTTTGAGGTGAGTCTGAAGTCTCCCACCTATAAAATAGGGGTGATCCCTGTTTGTTTGTTTTTGTTTTGAGGTGATAATGAAGATATTTAGTTGGGTCCTTTGCACATGAAAGTCCTAATTATATAGAAAATGTTTTCAATCAGTCTGGTCTCTCTAATATGGTGAAGACTAATATGGTCTCTCTAATATGTCTTTGGAAGAACTGGTATTTTTAGAGAAGAACCCCCAAAGAGCAATAATGTTGAAAACAAGGCAGAAGCTTACTAGCGATGGCACTTCGTGGTCAGTGGAGGGAGAGAACACTTTTAAATGGGCAGTCTTTGCCTAGAAAATCAACGAGGCAGGGAAACAAGGGAAAGCAATCCTACAGGCTGGAGCCATAGATGGTAAATTCTCCCAAAGGAGAATCCACCTGGACCTTTCCTGTAAAGAGTCTGGTATGGGGGAAAGGGAAGAAGTCCCAAGCCTCCTTGTACTACAAACCAGCAAATTAGCCAAAGGTCCCAGGAGGAAGGGGATATTGTGGTTCTAGTAGTTTCCTCTGGCAAGAAACCAAGCATGACTGCTACCCAGGTCTGTGTGTTTTCTTTCGTGCCAGGGTCCTGCTGCTTCGCCCTTAACCACCCCACCCACTGACATGGGGCAGGCCACCTAAGGAGCTGCAGGATTGTGGGGAACAGGGCTGCTGACAGCCCTGCCTCTCCCTGCTCCTTGGAGGCAGCTCCCTTGCTTCTCCCAGCTCTATGAAAGCCAGGGAAGCGGACTCTTACAGTGGTTATAGTTGCAGCTACCAAGCAAAGAATAGTCCTGAACGCTCAGTAATCAATTGATTCAAATCAGGGAGAACAGACAAGGGTGCTCAGTGCTGTAGCAACAGGAAAGTTAGCATGTGGAAGCTTGGAACTGGGCTGTGGGCACTAAGATGGATTCTGCAGCTCTGGTTTTCAGCCAGTGAGTTTGGAGGGCTCCAAACATGGAGGAAGCAATAAAGGGTAGAGCCAGTCTGCTGTCCCTAGCAGTGCACAGGGTGAGTCCCAGGAAGCCTTCTGCGCTGCTGTTCCTAACAAATTGAAAGAGTACTGAGGCTGAAACACAATAGAAGTTGATTTCTCACTCACGTAAAGCTTCAAATGGATGTTCCTGCTGGCAGAGGGCCTGCCTCCAAGCCATGCGTCAGGTGTGTATACCCTCCTGTCTTGTGGCTCTGCTGTCTTCATCAGGTGTCTTCCAATAGGTCCTTATGCATTAAGCTAAAGCAAAGAGAGAAAGGAATCGGAGCATCACATATGGAAGGAAGGAAGGGCCAGACCCAAAGTGGTGCGTGTCTACTCACACTCTGTTGGCAGCACTCAGGAACATGATCACACTAACTGCAAGGGAGACTGGGAACTGTAGTCCAGGAAGAAGGGGCAGTGCATTTGCTAGATGGCCAGTCAGTCAGCCACAGATGAAATAATCCTGGGGAGGATGGAAATAGCTCCTGCCTGGGTCCAGAAGCCTAGTGTGTTAATCAGCTTTCCATTGCCATTACAAATACTACGTATTATCTTGAGATAAGGGTTATTCAGCTCTCAGGTTTGGAGGTTTCAGTCCATGGGCTGTTGGTCCTGTTGCACTGGGGACTGTGGTAAGGGAGCACATTAGGGCACAGAGAGCATAGAGGAGGAAAACCATTCCTCATGGCCAGGAAGTGAGAAAGAGAAGACCAGGGGCTGCAATACCATTATCCCCTTCAAGGGCGTACCCCCCAGGGACTGATGACCTCCTGCCAAGGCTTCATCTCCACAGGGGCCTTTGGGGGACACTTGTCCAAACCAGAGCACACAGGAAGTGAGGAATGAGCTCAGAAAAGAAGGGGAGCACCTGACTCAGGATGTGCATTTCAGAGCCCAGTCTTCACTAGTAGCAATGATAATAGAAGAGGAGGGAACTTAGGCAGGGCTGGGCCAGAAAAAGAAATCAAGGCAGGCCTGTCTGAGCCACAGGAGAAGGCCAAGAAATTGTAGGTTCTGATCTGAGACAGGAGACACTACCCACTTTCTGTTCTTTCTTACCCCACACCTACCTTTCCTACATTAAACAATGTTCATGTTCTAGAAAACTCTGCCCCTCCCTCCCATTGAAAACAACCATTTCCTGGGGATTCACAGCTCAGATCCTGGGGGCAGAAGGGAGAGGAAAGCAACAGTCCAACAAATCAACTCACACCAAGGTGGTACCAATTTGCTGGGGTTGCTGAGAAAATGAGATGAGAAAATGAATGTAAAATACCTAGCAGGGTGCCTGGCACATGATAAATCAGTGCTCAGTAAATGGTTTATTATTATCATCTTGTGAGTGTGTGGAGAGAAGCAGTGGGGAAGGGGGAATGAGGAAGCTAGCAAAGCCCTGAAAACTAAATTACTTCTTATTTTCTCCCCAACCTAATGGTCTCACTATTGAATTGAGGCCTCCTGCTCATTGGGGCCTGTAAAGACATCAAAGTTGTTTTGGCTGAGTTGGCAGTCCTTTAGGACACAGGGTTAATTGCTAAGGGGCAACTCTGAACACCCTTGGAAGAGCTGGCACCCTTCTAATGTTTCCACACACCCTTGTCTCGCCTCCAACCCTCACCAGCCCTGGGCTCCAGTTGCCCAACCAGGCACCCTGTTCTGGACACACCTGCCATCTTATGTCTTTCTTCCATTTATATCCTTCTGGAAAATTCTCCTCCATTCCACCATCTCCTCCTCAGAAATCCTACAGATGTGACAATGTCTAGTTCACATGTCACCTGCAGCAATAAAAGCCTGATGGTTGGAATTCAGAGCGATAATACCAGAGGAGGGGCAAACGAGAAAGAGGAGGAATGGACAAGAATCCTGTTTGGACTACTACAGGGGAACAGGTGGCTTTATTCCAACTTGACTACCAAGTGTGTGTGTGTGTGTGTGTGTGTGTAAACACGTGCATTCCAGAGGAAGTCTTCCCCTAAAGAAAATAGGAAATAACACCTATAATCTTCATTGCCAAGGAGCCAGATGTTAGGCAGCCAATCTGTTTCCTTTCCCCACTTCAACTTTGTATTGTTTATGCTTTATTAACTCTCACCATGATACTTGCTTTAAGATAAATATAGTGATTTCTTAAGGACTTCAAAAGATTCACCAGCCCTAAGATTCTGCCCAGCATGTTGTTCTGCTCTTGAGAGAGCTTGCCTCCAGGCAGAGGAGTGCTTTTGACTAAACTGAATTCCAGAAAGAAGTCTTCCTGTTTAAAAGATGAGCATTCCCTACCCCCTTCTTCCTGCATTGTCTGCGTACTTCTTGGGTCAGGGTTGTCATTATTATTTTTATTAGGCAGTATGCAGCTGATGAAGTGAAGTAGTGTTTATTTATTGTTTTTTTGGTCCCTGAGTTGGAATACACGATCACTAGAAAAGAAACTCCCTCTGTGACTCATCCCAGGAACATCTTGCATTCCAGCCAGCACAAATATGATTAAAAGAACTTTCTGGAGGGCCCCAGTTAAATTTTAGCAAAGGAGCATATCAGCCAAGCTGACCATCTCTTGAACATTTTGCTTTTGGAAAGATAGTCATCTCTGGCCTCTTTATATGCCTTATTCTTTATGAAATCTTGAGGCACACCCCCCATGAGCCGATTCTTCTGTGGTATGGGCATTGTTAAAAATAAGTGTCTTCTTCATGGGGTCATAGAAGGTTACACTGACTGGGGAATCACCTGGTCATGGTAGCCTAAATGAATGACATTTAAATATTCACATAATATGCACTGGAACTTTCCAAGGCATGGTTAATGTAGCAGATGCTATTGGTGCCCCATCATATCCCCTCAGACTCACCTCTGTACACCAAAGGTTACTTACTGCATGTACCTGTGACTGTCCCTTAAGGTTTGTTTTTTGGTTTTTGTCTCAGGAGCACACTAGGCCTGCATGCTGTGCTATCTGGAAGTGCCAAGGAATGAACGTATCCTCCAGAAGCAACCCCTGACCAGTGATGGATGGAAGTTGGTGACTAAACACCCTGACTTCCTGGCCTCTCAGTTGACATAGCCCTGAGGAATGTGTTCTACACAGTCTCCCAGAATTCCCCAGTGGAACTGAGCTCCAGTTGCCTGCAGTGGTAACTTGCTTGATAAATTAGCTTCTTTCCTTTCCTGTCTTGCTGCTTTACTCCCCTTCTGGTGTTTTCTGGGACCTTCTCCCAAATAAACTATTTTCAGTTAATTCTTTGCCTTAGGATCATCCCATGGGAGAACCCAAGCTAAGATAACTATAGCCAGTTGGGTTCACCAAAAATCACCAGCTTCCTCTCTTCACCTTCCTTACGAAGATCATCATCACTGACAGTGGTCACTGAGTTTCCATGTGACTGCAACCCTGCAGTAGCATGTTGTCCTTTGAGAGCCTGTAGTTTCTGCATGGAAACCTGATAAGGTAGAAAGCAGAGTTTCAGGAGGTGGCTCATTCAGTAAAATGAGATAAAGACAACTCTAGATACTGTGGAAATCTCTGCACCTGGGAAGCACCTACTCAGGAAATTTCTTTTGGGTGAGCACTAAGTGTTTGCTGATTGAGTCCATAAAGGAATAAATAACTGCTTTACATTCACATCCTTTCTTTGCTCTTGGTGCATGTACCTTTTAATTAAGCCAGCAAACTTGGTCCTAGTTGTAGACTCTTGAATCTGTGGAGAAAAGTCAAGAAAGTAAGAAACTTCTTTCCCATGATTGGCATCTGAAATTCCTCACTTAGACTTCTACTTCTTTGTCCATAGCTCTATTGCTGACTAGATGCTGTTTACTATACCAATCATGGAAACATAATACTTGAGTCTTATCATTTGTATACCTCACTGAGAATGAGTTTATCATCTTTTTTTTCTGCAAATTCTAATTTTTTTTGGGGGGGGGAACCCAATTCTGATTGCCCAAGGAAGACTGGAGGTTAGTATTAGCCAAAAATGAAAATCAAACACCAAAATAATATGAGCTTGAATATTTTTTTCTAGGACTGACAGCACAGCCAAGTACCAAGTAAATATGCCTGGTGATTTTAAAAGCATGTGCATTCTGCCAGAATTTGGACCAGCTTCCTTATTTACTAGGAGTACTTGTACTTGTGAACAATGTGCTGTTTTTCAACATGTCCTCAATGTGCTGAGAAACTCCCTTCTCACCTCTCCCTCCACCACATGGCACAGCAACCAAGCTGTTACGGCTTGACAGCGCCCCTTGTGGCCAATTGGAGATCTCATTCCGTGTTTTCCTCACAGCTTCCTTCAGTTTCTCAATAAACTTTTAAATTTTCTCTCCTTCCATTTCTACCTAGTTAGCTCAGAAAATCTTTTTGCTTTCTCTCTCCCTTTTATCCTTACCCTCTTCCTTGTCTGCCCCATGTTTTTTTTTTTATGAGAAAATGATTCTAATCACTACTGAAAGGAAGAAAGGAGAGATACTTAGGCCCTGTGCAAAGGAGAAAAAAAACCCTGAAGTATCTGAAGTGAAATTATGAACAGCCAAAGGGCAGTAACTTCAGAACCCTTAAAAATGCTCATGAGTCCATATGCAAGATACATAAGGCTCTGGCTCCCCCCACCTTTTTTCCCCCAACCTGAATGAGGAGTAGATTTTTGTATTTATTTAATCATTTTCCTGCCATCTTTAGTTCCTGGTGTTACAATAGTATTATCTTCTGTTTTCACCACAAATGTTCAGTATCTTAGCTATGTTGGGGGTGAAGTGGGTTTGGGGTACCAGCCTGGAAATCTCCCATCAGGTGTAACACTGATTCTATGACAGCTGATTTTCAAGTGAACCCTTAAACATACAGGGTTATGAATGTGTGAACCCATTCAGATGCCAAGGGAGTATTTGATGCTACTCAACATGCAAAGAGGAAACATGGCCAGGGGTCTAATGAGGAACAAGATGAAGCCAATGTGACAATAAGGATGATGACAGTGAGAATGATGAAGATGAATCCAGTGCTAATGATGTGATGACAATGATGATGATAACAGTGACAGTGAAACCAACAGTGATGGCAAGGATAATGATGTTGGTCTTGATTTACAAAGCACTTTCCATGTGCCAGGCTCTGTGCCAAGCACTTTACGTAGATTATGTCCCTTAATCATTATGAACACTCTGTATGATGGGGATTTTTAAAAATCCTCATCTTACGCAGAAAGAAACTGAGGCTTAGAACTATCTTACCTAAGGTCACGCAGCTAGCAAAGTTTGGCAGGCTGTTGTTTGAACTTAGGCCTCTCTGAGTTCAAAGCTTTCCATTCTACCCAGCCTCACAGGGGGCTCAGTACCCAGGGTAAGCTGGCACTGTCCCCATGCTAACAATTGGTGAGGGGCTCACTGACATTAGGAGACGGGGACAGTCTGAACTCCAGACCTTAGTACTTCAGAATTCTGCACCTCTTCCTTCCAGTGACCCCTCAGAGGGTCTATTTCTGTCACACTGGTCTCTGGAAAATGTCTTGCTAATGACACAGGATTATAAACAGTCTTTTTCCCAGAACAAAAATTTAACCTTTGTATCTCAATCTAATTAGAAGTATTTTCTCTTTCAGAGGCAGGTTTTTCCCCTTTATTCTAAATTGAAGAGGTTTCTTTGTTGCCAGAAAAAATCACCCCAAACCATAGTTCTTCAAGAGGATAGACCCTGGCCTGAGACCTTAAACATGACCTATTGCTCCTGCATGGTATGGCTCCTATGGCCCCAGTCCCTGATGGTGTCTGGGGTCTGGTGCCTGGTGGAAAGCTGCAGGGCCTCAGCCGAATGCAAAAACAGCCACTTGCTGACTTGCACATTCCACTCTCCATTTTGTATATATTGCTTCTTATCCTTTTATTTCCTCATTCAATGATCCTGTGTTGCTGTTTCAAGGCTGTGTTGAGGAGTCTGATATATGTAGAAAGATAATAGGTGATTTAACTATGGGACAAGCTGGTGTTGGTGACCAGAATTCAAAGGTGACCACTGCCTGGCATCTCAGAGGCCCCCAAGAATGCCCAGACCTCAGAGCACACAAATGAATGGACTTGTGTCAGAGAGGTTTCAGCCACATACACTCACCAGCCAACCCTCAGGCCCTGTCACTGAATTCCTGATCCAAGTTGCTTCCTGGAAGCCAGCTTATGGTCATAACCTTACCCCCAACTTCCCCTCTAATTCAGTCAACCATCCCAGCTACATAAGCGATGGTGATCCTCACCAAAAACAGCTCTTCCTGAGAGTCTCATGTAATTCTGTGGTGGCCTCTCACCTTCCATTGAGGTTCACCAAGAATACTTCTTTCCTTGTAGTGTCAGGGGCAGGCCTCTCTGGAAAACAAACATTTATCATTCTCTACCTTAGAGGGGTCCTTGCACTGACATCATCTCCTACATCTGTCTATGAGCCTTGAACCCCAATCAAAGTAGACAACAATAGGAAATGGGTTTGGTTAATGCCCTGAGAAATGAGCCAAGAAAAAGGCTACATGCCTGTAATCCCAACTGCTTGGGAGGCTGAGGCAGGAGGATTGCAAGTTCAGTCAGTCTCAGCAAAGGCAAGGTGCTAAGCAACTCAGTGAGACCCTGTCTCTAAATAAAATACAAAATAGGGCTAGGAGTGTGGCTCAGTGGTTGAGTGACCCTGAGTTCAATCCTTGGTACCAAACAAACAAACAAACAAAAAACTACATGCCTTCCAAGAAAGTAGTACCAGGTTGGAGGAATAGGAAATGTATGCCAGCGCATAGTAGGTTCCCAGATCATTCTTGAAAGGATGAATAAATGAATTGGCATGAATCTAGTTCAGCCCTACACTAAGGCCTGCATGGTCCCAAGGGTCACCATGGATAATTTAGGCAGACTACAGGTATTCAGGAGTAGGAAATGAGATAATAAACACAGAGATATCTGACATCATCTACAGAGAAAGAAAGGCAGCAGAGTGCCCTCGCCACCAACTATTCCAGATTTCTCTTGAGGCCTGGGTTCTAACCCAGCAAAGACTTGGGAAATTAGGCCTTTGAGCTATTTATTTTCTCCCTCCAATTCTGTTTGACAGCTCACACCTGCTCACCCTTTGGTGCTCACAGCAGTTCCTCTTCCAGCAGCTCTGGGAAGGTTAGGTTTGACTCCTTCCCAGCAAGCACCACTCACTCCTGGGAGGTCTGAGAAGGGAGCAGTGCCAATATTACAGAAGAGGAACCTGAGTCCCTGGGGTATAAAATGACTTTCCTACAGTTATGAAAAGCTCATGTGTGCATTGAACCTTTGACTTCTATTTCAATGACTTGTCTCTGACTCAAGGGGGTATTTCTTCTTAATCAAGCTCCTTGCTCACCAAACTCTTCTTGACATTTTGATGGTTGACTGAAAGTATCCCCCATATTTTGGTGTCAGGTGCTGGTTACAATAGAGATGTTCTAATCCAGTCTGGCTGACTCTGGCCAGTGTGTTAGACTCAAGCGCCCCTCAACAACCTTGGGAATTTGAAACTAAGGCAATGGGTTGGGTAATGTGCCTTTGAGGAAGAAGCGCAGGTCTGGAAGTCAGTGTATTCTGTGCCTTGTGAACTTCAGCAAGTCACTTGACCTTTGAGCCTCAGCTTCCTGCTCTGCAAAGCAGGAGGGCCTGGCCAATTGAACTGGCCAATGACTCAAAGACTTGTTCACTTTGAGGGAGACCTTGGAAGTCTCACTGGGCCCTGAGAGCTTTGTCCCTCCTGCTTAGTGGTAATGTTTTCATTCTTACCCTTGATCAGAAAAAATCTTGAACACCCCACAACACATACATACATTCATATACATACATGTATGTTATTATGACTTTTTATATTTACTTATTGCACCATAAAAACTGAGAATAAAAAGGCTGAGATGATAAAATGGGAATAAATGACTTTTATGGCATCTCAGAGCATGACCTTATTTCGTTTTCCTGGAAAGACTTTTTTTTTTTGGTACCAGGGATTGAACTCAGGGGCACTCTACCACTGAGCCACATCCCCAGCCCTATTTTGTATTTTATTTAGAGACAGGCTCTCACTGAGTTGCTTAGTGCCTTGCCATTGCTGAGGCTGGTTTTAAACTCACGATCCTCCTGCTTCAGCCTCCAG